CAATTTAACATTTATTTAGAATGATGAACAAAAAATGACTTATAATTTAAAGTATTGTCTCACACTATTCTTGCAGATAATCTAGGTGAGAAAAAGATACAACAAATAACTTATCTCTAGTTTATTTTGTTGTACTTATCAAAATAAAATTTTTAAAAAGTTGCTGTTGGGACATTTCAAAAACTCACCATTCCTCCATCGTCGCTTGTAGTGCCAGGGGCAGATTTAGATTTGCGACCAATTTCCTTGTAAACGTGAGAAGTGTAGGCTCCTGGTCCTGGGGTTTCAGGAGCGGTGTCCTGAAAACGTTTCGACTTGTTGGATAGTGATGATCCGCCCTGTCATGGAAAAGCATAAAATTAAATTAAAAAAAAATAATACTACAAAATAGAATAACTTTATGGTAATGTCCTACAGAAGAAAGGGTCATACAAAAAAATATTAACCTTGGCTCCATCCCCAAGCAAATGGACATCATAATGACCTGGCCCTGGTGCTGACACAACTTGATCAGTGACTTTTAGAAAGGTTTCTCTACTTGACATGGACAGAAAGGGAGCATATCCATCTGCAGGAATAGCAGTGTTTTGACAAAGGTTTAGAATTATAAAGATAAAAGCTGCAATTATAAAATCAGAAACATATTTTTAAGTAAATTGATCCATATGTAAGAAATACACAATTTGTAATCATTTTGTCTATTTACTGAGCACTTTACTAAGTGATAACTTTATTCCTTTTTTTTAGCAAATCAAAATAAAGGCTTAATTTTTTAAATTAGATTTTTCATTGGTGCCTATTGTTTTACATAATGTGAAAAAGACTAGATCTAACTGTTACAATTTAAAGTAGGTTAAGTCCATCATACAAAAATGATATACAGACTTTAAAGTCATAAGTAAGGTTTTCATCTCTTTAAAATATTCCTTGAAATAAAATAAATTCTTAAATAATGACATAAATAGATTGTGAATTGGAGTATAGCAACACTGAAATAGCCTTGGGCATAAGGAAGAACATGTTAACTAAAAATTGAAAATTCCCCCATTGCTGTCATTTACTTTCTATGCATTAGATGTTTCCCTTACCTGCTCTTAACTTTGATTTGCTTATTGGGTCAGCATTGTAACTGCCTGGTCCAATGACACTTGGAGTGCACCCGACTTTAAAGTTTATATCTCGTGGTGCTCTATCATACATTTTTATCAATTTTGGTTGATCAGCCCACTAGTTATGTATAAACCTTTCACAGAAATAAAATCAAAAACAAAATTTAGGCTAATATTTGTAACAATAGCAACATAATTTATCTAACCTAGATAATGTCAAAGTAAAGGGTGTTTTGGCTTGGCTTAAACTTGGTAAAAATTAAAACTTAAAAGTAAAGTAATTTCTAGTAAGTTTATTTAAATAGACCTTACAAAAAAATTAATTATTTGAGTTTATTAAGGCATAAGCTTATTTATAGATGACCAATGAAATTACAGACTTTACTATAATTTGTAAACAGATTTTTACAACAAACATATTCTACAGATTCCTCTACTTTGCAAAGTGGAATGAGTTAACAATCAATAGATCATGATAATACCCGTTAGTTTAAGTTTTCCAAAGAGGTGTAATTTGAAGGAGTGTGTGTGGTTGTAAAGAGTTTTTAAATAATCAAGTGTTGGAAACCCTTTTTTTTTTTTAAATGGCTACCTAAAACATGTTACATTAGGCCAAATTATGTACTTCACGCAATTATTTTTACCTAATTTAATTGGGAGCTTGTGTTTATAAGTGATTATTGCAGTGGTTCTCAACCTTCCTAGTGCCCCGACCCTTTAATACAGTTTCTCTTGTCGTGGCGACCCCCAGCCACACAATTATTTTCGTTGCTTCTTCATAGCTGTAAGGATATGTGTTTTCAGATGATCTTAGGCGACCCCTGGTTGGGGTCGCGACCCACAGGTTGAGAACCGCTGGGTTATTGCAATCAAAAATATAATTTTTTATTAAATTGTAAAAAAAAAAGGGAAAAAACTCGATTTATATGTAAAGTTTACGACAGCTCCCCCATTAAGTTTATTATTTATGCCCAAATCTATTGGAATATTTTTTTAACAATACCAGCAGGCTAAGGTGACCTTTTTTATCAGCATTAAAAAAAAATTAAACTAATAACTCTTCTGACAATGAGGTTAATTATTCATTGAAGTAGACACTCTTTTATCATTTTATCACCATGAATGTCCAAAAAATAAATAATTATTTGTCAATAGACAATATAGGGAGAGCTCTTCTGAACGTGAACTATTCATTTGAAAAAATTATTATCATGATGCCTATTTGAATTTGGATTAATTAGATAGTTATATTTATTTATGCACTGATCACTGATATCCGATTTACTGCATATATTGATAAATTTAAAAAATTGATTAATGTAAACGTTGTATTCTTAAATACTTAAAATTTAAAATCTATATGCTATACATATTGATTTCAGCTCATGAAAAATAAAGACAAATGTCCAATAATTAGAAATGTACTGGTAAAAATATTATGAATGGTCACCTAACACTTATAACTTATAGGCAGGCTAATATAAACACATTACTTAGGCGACTTAGGACACATATGCCTACTACTACTAGTAATCATAAATAATGACTAATAATAATGAGTAGTAATGGAAATGATTGATGCTAGTACTAGTCAGTAATACTTACTAATACTAAATACTAAATACTTATAGAATTTTACAATTAACGTGTCGTTACACTGGCAGACACGATCATAAGCTAATTAATGTAAAATAATGTAACACAGATAACATTTAAATGTCGAGACAGAATTTTATTTTTTTAAGTTCAAAGAATATTGTTTATTTACCTTGAGCCTTGAGTTCTTTGTACCGCTTCTTCTCGAGGTGGGTTATTTACAAATGAGACGCCATGTTGGTTTGCGCAGTTGCCACGGGTGATCAGGCTTCCGCACACAAAAAACTGTATCGATCGGTATTGTCGTAAAAAAGCTAGGAGTTTTGAATGTATTCGATTTACTTCTCAATATTTATACACGCTTTAATAATAATTAAACAAATAATTGATTACAAAAACTCTTCCAAAAATATTAATCTAGTAGCTTAATAAAATTTAACTATTTTTGTATTTTCCGGAAGTCGACTTTTACAGCAGCCAAAAGTAAAACTGAAACAACATAAACAGTGCAACGAGAGGTGGTAGTTGTAGCTAGAGAAAGAATAAAGACTTTCAACTGATAATACTTTCTTCGACGCAAGAAATTCAACCAAAATTGTAAGTCAGAACTAAGATAATTCATAAGTTTATATATATATCATAATATAATTTTCAGCTATAGGACAGCGAGTACCAGCCGGCTTTTTGCGCAAGCCGGTTATTTGTATTTATAATTTAGCTCTCTTCGCTGTGAATGTGAATCATCACTCGATCACTGTGATGTGACTGTGTCACTGTGCTTATGCAATATTATCACCCTCTGTTATGTAAGTAAGGAACAACTGATTCTGCTGAGTTAATGGTTGAGAGCCTGTTTTTAATGTCAGTATAGTAATTTCAAATACACTTTGAAAATTGAAATTGCATTAGTAAATTAGTCTTAGTTAATTTATATTATTAATTATAATTATAATAATTCTAGGCCTAGGTGGCTAATTTATGGTTGGCGCACCACTTTGAGTCTCTGTGTAGGATTTTCTCCTTTTTATTCTTAGTTTGTTACTAGAGTTAATTTGTCTTTTTTCAATATTGATGCACCCATGGAATGTTTTAATCCTTACATTACCGGCGGCTGGCTTTGGCATCAGTTTTTGCTTACTCAGCAAGAAAAATCTTAAAAGAAGAAGAAACTTTCAATATTTTGCATTCTCTATCCTTTTGGCTTATTAACTTCTCTATAGATTAACAAATAAAGAAATATATAGCATTGAAATATGACGTCGGCGTGACGTCCTTGGTATTTCAGAAAAGCTCTTTGCCTCTTTGTTATGACAAAAATGTGACGTCCTTGGTAATTGAAAGTGGGTGTTCATGACGTAGCATCGCCGACATCTGTAACCATAGGGTTAAATTATAATCTCATTGTGTGGTTAAATATATTTAAATAATTATCGGTAACCAGCAATAAAGTGTGTAAATTTGTATTTGATGACACAGTATGTTGGGTTTTCATAATTTAAAAAATATTTCGAATTGATTTTCTTCATTTTTAACTTTTCTTGCCACAGTGGGTTACTGTAGCACATTTAGCACACATGCTTTAGTTGATGGAAGGGTGCGACAGCAGGTTGTTGACACTTCTTGCCGCATATCTAGACGTATACAATAAAGTTGCTATGTTGGCTATGAAATTAATGGGGCAACTGAAATAAAACCCGGAAAGTGGGCGATGGCTGGTCAATTACATTTCTTGTCGCATGTCTAGAGGAATACAATAAAGTTGCTACGCTTGCCACGAAATTAATGACCGCCTGAAATTATTTTATTAAATTTTAATGCGTTGTTCCTATTTTCGTTTCTCTCTATAAGTAGCTTTAACAGCACATTATCTCCCCCTATTTTAGTAGACCTGTGTATGTGCTACTTAAATTTTTTTTTTTAAACATTGCCGCCATCTTGTTTATCATGACATGTCTGGGATCATCGCAACCAAGTTGGAGGTTGTGTGACATGTGTTGCGTACTGAATGTAAATTTACCACCTAGGCCTGTTACTCATTTATCTGATTAAAATGATTAATTTGATGTAATTGTGATTAGACTTTGTTCAACATTGACTAAAAGAATTAAATTAGGAAAACGTTTTTTTTTTAAACACTTTTTGTGTGTGTGCATTTCTGGGTCACCAGGAAACAAAGTTAACTATTTGCTATATCAAGTGTTGCATTGTTGTTACTGAATCATTATGATACGGGCAATAAAAAACCAGAATTCTTTCATTCTCCATTTAGAGTCTAATTAAGCCAAAGCTGAGGAATATCAGTGTCCTCATCTTATAATATCAGCCTACTACCAAAGTCCACCATGGTCAGTACACGGTCATCTGCTGCTAAAGAGCCAGAAACACACGTTATCACTGGAGGAGGTGGTTTCCCAGGTTTCTCTTTAGGAAAGAGATTAGCCAAGAAAGGTCATAAGGTCAAACTATTTGATTTGAAGGAGCCTGTCTGGGAGCTTGAAGATGGAATGGAATTCATTCAGGTGACTTTTCTGTTTCATCTTGACCTTGACCTCATTAGTGTAAATTTTTTTTAAAAATCTAACCGTTGAATACATTTAATGGTATTCTCATGCATTTTTCTTAAGCATTACCATTAATCTATGTAATATTTAAAAAAAATATTTCTAGCATTCACTGGTCTTAATATAATGATTATGGCCCCTGTTTCTTTCTGATTCTCTCTTCAACAAAATGTGCATAGGTAAAAAATGATCTTCAATAATATTCTTTTAAAAAAAAAACTAGTAAGGTTCTTTTCAAATATGCAAGTATTCCTTGAGTTTGATTACTTACCTTTGTTATTTAGAATTTAAAATTGTTCCACCATCAGGAGAAAACAACAAATATAAAACCACCTCATAATCCATTTTACACAGCATTTAAAAGTCCTTTAGTTTTTTTTCACATTTAATCCATGCTTTAGTTTAATCCAGGAACCTTGCATGGGCTACATCCTCTATCCACTTTGAAATCCAAGGCAGCTGAAAAATAATGAAATATGTTTTATTAGAAAGAAGCAAGGCCAAGCACTCATTCATTTCATTATATCAGTCAAGTAAACATAAGTTATGGGGATTTCTAATCAGAATCTCTCTCTAATGTTTCCACACAAAGAAAATCCTGAAGTTTTAGTTTAGATACGTAAAACTATCAATTATTTTAAAATTTTTTCCTGAATAAAAAATGTTTTCTAAGATTAACGTTTTTTAGGAGCACTGCGCTCTGATACGACACCTGTACGCTATTTTGATGGGGCTTATTGTCAATCTATTCAGGGCAATATCACGGAGGGAGAAACTCTATCCCAAGTTATCAAGGGAGCCAGTGCTGTTTATCACCTCGCTTCCTATGGCATGTCAGGTAGAGAACAGGTAAGAACGTTTTTTTTTCCTCTGCTCCTCTGCCTCAAACGTTTACTTTCTCTCTGTCAGATATTTCGCTTGCAGCGTTTAGATTTATCTTTAAAATAAAAAGTTTCCTATTAAATGTTTGTTTTTTGAAAATAAAAGAAAAAGTCTTTTAACAGTTTTCAGGTATCAGCTGTTAAGGCATTACCTTACATTATTTGTCTATAGTTGGGAATATTGATAACCCATTTACCTGCAGTGTTTGTTGCTTATAGCATTAAAAAATATTTAATTGCAGATTTATTTATGTAAGTTCCAAGTCAAGTCTTGCATAAACTTCTTTGAGAGTTCTTTCCTCCTCCTATACTTAAAACACTTAGTCTATGCTCTGATTTTTTAAACAAAATTTGATTTGCCCCCAAAGTACTTCCATCGCTTTACTGACAATTGTATTGTATAATAACACAATATCGTACATGATTTTAATGACTTATTCATAAAACAATAAAAATATTAATTAAAGAACAACCCCCCATACCATAAAATTAATTTTACATAAACTATGTGTTAATTTCTTGGTTGGTCTCCCTTTCCTTTAAACTTAGAGTGGCCACTGGTCGGACGGCTAAAGACTCCACCAACTGGGGGGGGGGGGGGGCAATTCTTTTCTAAAAAGTCAAATGATCTCAAGGACTTAAATCTGTGAACATGCTCTTGGCACAAACTGATCTATATAACTGGATATGATAAGATTTTAAAAGGGTCGCCACTTGTATGACTTGGTGCTATTGTGCTCTCAAGTCTCTGTATTCAAGGCTATTCACGCTGTCCCATCAACCTTAAAATTCATGAACAGAAATTAATATTGAAAAAAGTGTACATTTTCTGATATGCCTGTATTCGTCTGGCCCCATGTTCAAAGGAAAAGCAAGAAGACAGACTGACGGCCTAGTGTATTATTCCGTCAAGGGTTGCCTTGGTAACAGTTATTATATACATATATATATTTATATGTGTGTGTTTCCCACATACCTTACACATGTTTTGTGAGTGGGAATACTCTTCGCCCTCTTCACATTCATTGTGCTGGCTGCTCTAACATTTTTTTGAAAAGGGTTGGGGTTGGTTGGGGGGGAGGGGAGGGGTTGCTTGTTTTCCGGCTGTGAACAAACCTTTATATTTTCTTTTGAGGTCACGCCATACATGGAGGTCTTGATGATAAAACCACACCCCCAGGTCGTGTCTGTATTAATCTTCATTTATCATACATCTAAAACCTAACAGATGGTAAATCAAATGTTGGTGGTGTCGAAGGCTGGTTGGTTGGGGGAGGGGGGGAGGGGCGCCGTTTTGTTTGTAAATGTGTGTTTTATGAAGGGAAATTGACCAAATTTTGTTAGATTGAACATTAAGTTGAGACTGTACACTTGTTTCATAGTGTAAGAACAAGGTTTGCCAAACTGGAATTCATAAACAGGACACAAGATTTTGACGTTTCGGCTTAGAGCCTTCATCAGAAAAACAAGACAAGAAAAAGTATGACTAGTATCAGTTCACAGTAAAAAAAAAAAAAAACAACAAACTTTAGCGCTTTTCTTTTTGTTGCCGGAAGTAGGATTACAGGAAGTGAAAGAATATAAATATTGGTACTGTGAGCTCCTTGTCGGGTTATTTCACACCCTCCACCGCCACATGTGTTGCCACAATTGTTTTATATATGCATGTTAACGAAGTGAGGATATGGCTCTAGTAATTATTTTCTCATCACAAGTTATCAATATGCCGTATGATGACAGATTACGTTGTTGGTGTTTTCATGTTAGTTCTCTAAGCCATTACGGTCAGTTCTTGCAATGACCTACCTTGATGTTTATAAAAAAAGAGAAGAAGAGATTTTCAGAGAGCAAAATATCCAGTGAAGAATGTTTCTAGACACAAGTTGGATGCATCCATTATTCTATGCATGAATGCACACACACAAAACAACGCTGGAAATTCTGGTCAATGAAGTCCTGCATCAGTGGCTTGTAACTCTGCACTTGTAAACACTGTTAGGGTAAAACTACGCGTACTGCATATTACTATTGTCATTGACGTTGCTCTCGCTACCACTCGCCCTAGATTTCATTGAGAAGCTCGGTTGTTTGAGGGTTTGGGGCGAAAAAAAAGAGTGGGGGTTGGGGGTGGTATTATGAAAGCGACGACGTTTAGCGAGGGAGAAAGCCACCAGGGGCGGGGCGAAGGGGTCTCTGTCTTTGGTATCTCTGGGGGAGATAAGATTCGGGGCGGGTGGGAGGGAGGAAGAGAGGGGGGGGAGAAAGATCTATCCCCAGATGCCGGGACAAATATAGGGTGTTAAAATATCAGGGGTTGTTTGAAGTGTTAAGAGTGAGGTCCCTTTCATTTACCTTGATTGTTTTAACACGCGCTTAATATGGCCGCTCTTTGTTTTACTTACCGCGAGAGAGCAAAATAAAAAGGTCAAAAAAGAAAAAAAAAATGTTGAGCGAAACTGCAGGGATGGTTGACGAGGGCTTGACGCTTCTGTGAAGGGAGGCGATGGGAAATTAGAATGGATGGGGCAACTTCAAGTGAGGGGGGACAAACACGGCTTTGTGGGACTTAGATAACTTTGAAATGCTATTTTGGTCAAAATTTAGGATTTCTGTGTTCATGTTTCGTCTGAGAATTAAACGAGAAGTTTATATATATATATATATATATATATATATATATATATATATATATATATTTGAAACGCGTGTGTATATATTACACATGATAATTCTCTAGGAATGTATGCATGGCCGCGTAACGCTGTGTTAAATAAGCGCGCAATATAAAATTACCAGCACTTATTTTATTTTGTTATTGTGTTGAGGTGCGCTGCTTGAATGCATGTTTTGTCAAGTAACTTCAGTGGATGGCAAGTTCGCGAATAGCTGCTGCTGCTGCCATTGGGTGGCGGGTTATTTCTTTCATTTACATACATAATTATTTGTATTGACCATTGGCTACATGAACATAAAATATCTATAACAATATAGAAAGGAACAATATCTATTTTGTTTTGTAAGTGGAGCTCATCTGTTATTCCTGTTACACATGAACAATTAAATTTTCTTATGTATTCACTTTACAAACATTACTATTATTTTTTTTTTAAAGTGCTAACTAATCTAGAATATAAATCTCGTTTTAATCCAGCAGTACCGGGAGATAAACAAGCCAAGCGGATTAACACAATAACGTTACTCCCATATTTACTTTTGCGTTTGTGATTTAAGAAATGTAAGCAACAAAAACGTGTGTTTGATTGTCAAACTTGAGACGTCTAAATCAAAACCGTTTTTTGTTTTGTTTTGTTGTTTTTTTGTTTGTTTGTCAAGTTACTAGAACGTGAACAAAGATAACAAGGCGAGGTGCACAGCAGACGGACGGGTAGATGAAGAAGGATTAATTAATGCCCTCGAGGGCGTCTCGCCCCGTGGAGCTGTCAAAACCTCTCAGGGCGCAGATCTACCGGCATCAGTTGTTTTTTTTTGTTTTTGTTTTTTTTGTACACCAGATTGTTTGTGTTGCTGTGCACACCACTGATTTTCTTGATGAGAAATGGCTTAAAGGTTTGCTGGCTGTTGTGGTTTTTTTTTTTTTGTGGTGTGCTTCAGACGTCAGGAAGGGGTGGAGTTACCAGGATGAGTTTTAATGAGTTCAAGAAGACGGAGTAGGATTCGAACGAGGCGTAACGAGAAATATGGAGGGCGAATAAGAAACGGAAAAAAACAAAACCACCCCACAAACACAAAAAACTAATATGAATAGATGCACAAGGGAAATAAACAACACAAACAGTTGATTTTACCATCAAGCTCCAAAGTGCCCGCCACACAACCTTACACAATGAAATATATACTAGGGCTTAACCGGGTGCCATTTTCTTACATTGGGTCGGGGTATTTTTAGAAGGGGAGTCCAAGTGTTACCAAAAAAATAAAATACAAAATCTTCTAAACGTCTATGATATAGACTTGGTTCACCTTTAAACGTGATTGTGTTCGGTTAAAAAACAATTTGCTTCAGGTTTCATCTGTCAATCATTGACTTCTTGTACATGCTCACCTAGTCCCATGTTATTGACTTCTTGTACATGCTCACCTAGTCCCATGTTATTGACTTCTTGTACATGCTCACCTAGTCCCATGTTATTGACTTCTTGTACATGCTCACCTAGTCCCATGTTATTGACTTCTTGTACATGCTCACCTAGTCCCATGTTATTGACTTCTTGTACATGCTCACCTAGTCCCTTATAACTTTTTAAATGCCCTTCCCCAGTAGTGTGTTTAAAAACACGAGTCAAATACCACCGTTTGATGATGTCATGCAACTTGGTTAAAAACGTATCTTGCCCTCGGCCGTGACGACCTCTCGTGTCAGTGCCGCCATTTTGGGGCGGAAGTAGGGGAGAGTAGAGTCCTGTCTACCCGCCATCTGCCCGAAATGCAATGGTGCGTCCACCCAACGTGTTTTAACGATCATCTCTTGTAGCCCTCGCACAAGGGAACATTTCCCGTGGCCCCAGCGCGTGTCCTGTGTTAGCTTTGCGCTGTCATGGATACATCTATCTTTGCAACCCTGAACCATCCTTTCTCTCTTTTTTTAAAAATTATTTCTTTAAAATACTTTTTAAAATAATTTTTTTAAAGGTTTTTAAAGAAAAAAAAAAGAGGGGTGGGGGCGGGCGTGCAGGCTTGAAACTAAAGAATGAAAAAGAGATTGAAAAGTCTCGCGTGTTCGTTTCACCGAAACCTCTGCATTGCGCACATTTCACGGTGAGGGCAGAAGGCCCGCGGACCGCCTCCTGGTTTGTCCATTACGAAGACGCTATGGCGAATGCATGCCCCGTGTCTCTTGTGTAATTGTTTTTCTGGTTAATTCTGATGTTTCAATTAGCAGGAACGACCCACGAGCCACGGGCGTGTTCCCTGGGA